AAATTTACCTTTCATCACTTGTTGTAGCCCCCAGAAATCTTGTATATTCTTTGTAGCATCTTTTCCACTTACATCCTTGAGGATGGATTCATCCATTTGCAGTTCAGTTGCTTTAACCAAACTCCCTAGCAAAGAGAGAGTTAAAAAAGTTCAATCATAAACCAGCTGCCAACAAATAATATCAAATACTTTTTCTCTGTTTTACGAGACTGAACTGGTAGTTGGGTGACAAATTTAAAATCTAACCATTATTTGACAAATGAATTAATTGCCTATCATCACTTCAAGTTCATAATAATGCCTTTTATTATTTTTGAGGCCCTACACATAGCCTTCATACGCTTACTTCACAATGAAAAGAGCAGGCTTGGGCTGGCACCAATTACACATGCATTTTTTTAAATCAACATATGTATTACTTTTGCTTTTGGTTATAAGCCACAAACAAAGATGCAATCTGCAAATTATCTACTCACCAGCATTTATAGTTTCTGCTTGGACCATTTTTTCTTTCTTTGTCTTGTGTCCTTCTTTCACAAAGTGGTCAGCCCTCTTGCAAATTATACAGACAGCAGGAAGTACATTGCCAGACCTCAATGATTTAGTCGTGGATCTCAACTGTTTTTACAATGGTGGCCGGCTTGTCGTGGACGTGGCTGTGGAAGACTCGTGATCAGAATCAGAACCATTGTTGTCACCACCATATGCTCCCCGTTTTTCTGCTAGTTTTTCAGCACTGGCAATTCGTTTCTTATCGATGAAACGCCTATAACAAGTTGGATGAAAACCAAGTTTTTTCCCCCTAAGAAGCCAGAAAGAGTCTTCTGAACAAGCCAGGGTTGACGTGGAATCGTCATTGTTATTTCTGGCGGACTCATCGTGTACACATACAGCCTCCGCCAAGGTGCGGTCGATTCCGTCAATTTCTAGCCACTTACGGGCACATACAACCAGCTTCTTCCAACGAACAACTGTCAGTGGCTGTGTCCGTTCTTTGTCCATCGATGATATGTGTGTGATGCATATATAATCCACATTTTTCTTGCGTTTTCTGTCTGATCCAACGGGAACGCTCTGCTCCATGGGGGCCGCCATGTTTGTTGTTGTACTCCTCTTTCCGCTTCTGAAGTGGAAGAGCGTACCTGAAGGACGCACTCTGATTGGCTAACGGCTAGGCGGATTGATTCGAGCATAGATTAACGGTGTGATCAGGCTACCGATATAGTTACACTTTTAAGTAATTACTGTAAAAATACTGGCGCAAAGTGATTGGAGAACTTTTGGTTATGGGCTCAAAATGCACTTAGGATTTTATTGTAGTTGTCATTTAGTAGTCCCTAAATAGGTGGAGCGAACCTGAACGATACAGGCTTCAGCCTATGGCCTAAGGAACAATCGACTGGAATCAAACACAGTTTTGGTAAACACAGGGTTTTATTGTCCTGCAAAGGGGATGTGGGTTACTAAGCAACCCAGATGAAGCTCAGGCACTGTGACAGATATTGACGCAAATTATGAAAATTATGGTTGTGTTCATCTCCTGTTTGCGAAACACTTAAGCAGATGTACATGTCTGGAGAGCTGCTGCCTTTTCAAAAGGAGTATTTGTGCAAATTCTGGGCGTCTACATTGGTTACATTTGGTAAATTCATCTTGACTCACATCGCAATGAATGTGACTGGATGTTGTATGGTAGAGCGTTTCTAAGCATGGCAGCAGAGATATTGATGATGTGAGTTAATACCTTTAGAGGTCATGTGCAACTGCCAAGGCACTCCGAGTTACAGGTAAAGAGCTCTGGCCAGCATATCTGGAGTAATGTATTTTTCTTGTCAAAGATGTTGTCTGTACTCTGTTCTTGCTCTGCCACAATGGTAAGGTCTTGTTGTGTTGATGTACAGAGCTATTTGAGAGTATTTTTCTGTTGTAAAGGGGATATTGCTTCACGTGTCATTTACCTTCATTATTTTTTACATATTTATATTGTATCGGGCCCAAACATAAATGCATGGTTTTATACATTTTTTATGTTAGACCAACATGATGTGGTCCATGACATGAAGGGAAAGTAACATATTTTGTTACTGCAGGTCTTATGTGGTATGTCTGAACAGGTTTGTTTCAGTCTCAAACAAGTTTGTTTCAAGGATTGGCCTGAATTTAGGTCAATTCTCCCATGAACTCCCACCAGCTTCCCTATCAAAAAGCACGCCCAAAACATAGTGCTGTCCCTGCCTTGTTTCAGAATGCACCGTTCGTTTTCTGTGTCATTTAGAGTTTTGCTAATTTGGCATAAACCAGATCGGTAGGTGTAGTTCAATTTGAATTTGACACAGTATCTACCTGGAAGGGCTCCTGTGGAAAGAAAAGTTTGGGACATTCAGTTCAATTCTATCAGCTGATTGGGTATTTACCAAGTGGAACCCCATGTCAAGCTTTTAGCCAATCACAGCAGTAGTAGTAGCCAAGTTTTACAGCAGTAAGGCCAAACATCTCAGCCTTAGCCACTTTGTCGTCCATAGGAGCGGCAATAGGCGACATGATTATAACTATAGGATCCCTCTGCAGATTCTCGATTTGTTTCACAATGAGCAGAGTTGATTGACAAATGTCTAAAAACAGATAGGGAGAACACACAGTCATCAGACTCATTCGCGAAGGCAAAAATCCTTTAATTTTGCTCTTTTTTTATTTTTTAAGAAAAGCAATAGAAGGTATTCCAGCTAAAACACTCTAATTAGTAACGTATACAAGTACATTTATTGGCACAATCAAGTTTGTTTTGCTTCAGTCTGCCGCCACTGATTTATGTCATACACATTACTGCCTTCCATTGGTTTGTAACATTTCTTTATTCAAGGCTAATGCATCTATCAGCCCCTGGCAAGGTGGATTTTCAGGAGTTTTTGAATTCACAAGTCCCGCAACAATGTACTGTAAGGTTAGAGTTTTGCTTAAAGGCTAGGGAATTAAATTTTGGCCTAATCTGGTCAGAACTCCTCCTTCCTTTTTTTTTTTAGCTGTCTGCTGGATGTCTTGTGGAAAACTGTGATCAGGCTTTCTTCTTGGAGTTCTTCCATACAGACTGAGGTTCTCTGCAGCTCACAGTTGGAACGTAAACACCAACAGTAAAAAAAAAAAAAAAGATTTCAATGTTGTATTTTTGTTTTTTCCAATACTTTTTTTCCTTCTCTATATACCTAATTGTTGCTTTACATCCAAATGAAAAATATTTAAATTCTATAGTTAAAGAGTCTCGAACTGCCACCATGTAGGGGAGTAAATTACGCTGTACCCAAGAACCTGAACCACATTAAAAGAAAGCAGTTTAAGAATCAGGAGGAGGCCGTGTCTGGTCTCAGTTTGTTGCCATACAAAGACACTCAGGGACCAGCTGATTCACTTTACATTAATAACACAGGACTGAGCCCGGGATGCTGCTGCGTACGGCACTGCATGCCCAGCAGCAATCACACACTTTGGATTTAATACTGTACTCAGTGGAAGCATAAGTGCCTTCGATGTCACATGCATCCTCAGAGCTCTGTTGTGCATTACTGAGTAAGAGGCTTTATGATGCTGCTGTGAATGCCTGGATGTCATGTGGATATTTGCTCATGTCAAGTCTTTAGTATGTTGGGTTTTCTTTCGCTTGAGTTGGTTTTCATTTTGCAAATCTGAGCCTTCATTGGATTTTCCTTTTGTATTCAACCCTGATCCAAATCTTAAAACCAGGGGAAATAAAGCTACAAGCATTGGCAGCTGTTTTCCATGCTGGATCACAGCAGAATTATAAGACAAGAAGAAATGTGTGAACCTTCCGAAAAAAAATAAAAATAAAAGGGATTACGATGATCATTAAAGATTATATTTAACAGGGTTTAATGTCATTAAAAGTCATTAAATTATTATTTTTTTTATCAAGGCCTTAATTGGCATTAAAATTCATTAAATGCTATTATCATGGCATTTAAAATGCTTTATTTAAAAAGAAAAAAGTAAAAAAAAAAATTGTGTCAGATATATCAATTCATTTATTTCTATAGCGCCAATTCAAAATACATGTCGTTTCAAGGCACTTTACAGTTCACCAGATCATACAAAAGTTTTCGATCTAAGAAAAAAACAGTTGATAAATCAGAAATAACTTGTGTTCCGTGTTTGTGCGGAAATGCTTCCGGTTAATCGTAAACCCCTATGTTCGGAAAAGAAGTTCGAGGCGGAGGAAAAGCTAGAGAAAATGCTTTTCCTACAAATTTCAACAAAAGTGGCTGAAATAAGGAATTTGGGACATGGCTGCGGCCTGTCGACAGTAAAGATGACGAAGGATTTTGCCATATATGAGAGTCATTGTTGAGTCAATGTTGATGGCATTAAAATTATTTCTAAGAGCATTAAAAAGCATTAAATTAGGGTTACTCGTTACTGTATGAACCTTGTTTAAACTCCAAAATGTTTTGTCATCAGGTGGTTCAGTGGGGCATTTTGGCTCAGATCTTATTTAATTCATTTGGATCTATCTCATAACCTTATCTGAATTTAAAAACACCTAAATTAATGCATTAAAACTATGCAGTGGTGGCGTGTTATGAGGGCCCTGCTTGTGCAGCTTAGCAATCCTTTGTCATCTGGGGTTTGCAAAATTGTGGTTCCTTGACAGAAAAGGGCATGGAGGCCATGTTTATTTATTACTTAAAATTTTAAGGAACAGGATCTTTGACTGTTGATCAGTTCATAAAACATTTTAAAAAGTTGCTTTATTCCATTTATTTCATGTGTTTACTGCATTAGAAGGCTGCCTTTATTACCTTATCATGACGCACCAGGACAAAAATGCAAATGTTTTATCTTTTCTTGTTTTAGTGTAATGCTCAGGAATGTTTTCTATGCTTTTAACTTCCTCAAAATCCAGTCCATATTTATCTTTCTGTTTGTGAAGAGCTCCCCTGTGATATTTATTGACTGCTAATGTTTTCTGTATTTTTTATTTTTTTTTTCAGGTCAACACACAACGAACTTGAAAAAAACAGGTGAGTTGGCATTATTTTATCTTATAACATTTCATGTTTATAGTACAGGGAAAACCTCACACACACAGCCACACCTTGGCCTTACAGGTGAACGAGTTCATTTTGTTTCACTTTCACTTTTCTGTGAAACAAGTTTGCCATCTTCTTGAAGTAAGCTCTACATCTTCAACAGCTGTTTTTAAAAGCAACAAACTAACATTGACATCCTCATGCGTGTTTATGCAACGCCCTACTGCCCCAACCTCTGATGTTTGCTCTCTCTTCTCCTTTGTGTGCAAAGGCTGAAGCACAAAGTCACGTTTATAAAGTCCTTGTGGCTTTTGCATCCATCTGAATGTCTGCATGCAACTCATCCTTTGTTATTGTGTTGTTCTCAGCTTTGAGTCTTTGTTCAGAGGTCTGGTTTAGGTTTTTAGATAAAGTCGAAGGTTTGGAATAATTATCGACAAGCAGCTTCCCCCAACTATAAATTCTCAGAGTCTGCAATTTCTCTTCAACAATAAATTTTATACTTATAAAATAAATTCTTAAATGATTCCTATATATATATATATATATATATATATATATATGTATACACAGTTGTAGCTCAGAGAGAAGACTAGTGACCATACGATGAGAAAGTTTCAAGTTCTCAGCCTTATAATGATAACATGCCTTTGGGGGGTGTTGTTATCTTAGCTGTGTGAATGAGGTTTGTAGAGCAACTTTTTTGATGTTTGCTGATGTGCAACTAGACACTGTTGCATAAAAACAATGGCGGAACAAATACCCAGATCTCTTCACAATGCAATGTAACTTGTAAGTCTGTTCAAGTCATTTTCCTTCTTCCATAACAATGCTTTTTTTGGCCTGGCGTGTGAGTATCATTAGTGATTAGTGTTACAGAAGCTTGTCATATCTGTTTCTGGTGTGGCTGCTTGTTTGAACTTCAACTAAGTTTGGTCTAGCATTAAGGCGTAGAAATATGCAACATTTGTTCTTTCTTTGCACCTACTAGAAGCTTTGGTTCTTGCTCTTCATGCAGAAACTGTTTACTAAATACAATACAAAGCCGTCTGTATTTTGAGTTTCACCTGAAAAGTTGCAGGTACACTGAGTTTTCATAGTAAGTGCTGTAACTATCTGCACATTTACAGTCAAAGCTGAGCTTAAAGCTGTAGAAACTTTCTTATCATGATTGTGAGATTTTTGTTGATGGGTGAACAATATAAGCATGGCAGCTTTTTATTCAAAAGACTATAAAATACTTGATGCTTTCAAAGGTTTTACATAGTTTTAAAAAGCTTATTTTGGTGCCCATGTTGATGCCTATCTGCTGTGGCTTCTTGGACAGACGCAGATTTAGGATTCTTTGCAGCCCATCCTCTGAAGAAACCGAGAGAAGCCCTTATCAGATTAAGATTACCGCCCACGTAGGAGTCACCTATGTTTACGCTGTGTGACTTTGCAGGTTTCGAGTCAACCTGTTAAGGGTTCCCTTCGACTCTATAAATAGGAGTATCTAAACTTAAAGTGTTCATTACAAGCAGGGGAAAAAAAAAAGGATGCCTCCTGTTTCATTATCTCAGAGTGTGTGGGAACACTGAAGGGACGTAGGAGGATGAATCAATTCAGCGTGATTACATATCACCTCAGCTTGTTTTTTCTCACTACAATCCCTGGCAACTTCCTCTGAAAGCTTTGGAACATTGGAAGGAGATTCATTGGGTTAAATGTAGATGAGTTGATGTGTCATTTCTGTGCTAACGTGCATAGCCAGTCTTTGGAGACGCCTGGCCTCAGCAGATCAAAGCACCAGAGCTGCTGGGCTGCATTTTACAGTGTTCCACCTACACAAATGCATTCCGATAACAGCGCCAACTTATTTCAGAGATCACCATGTTTTAGACTGTGGTTGCTTATCTGTGCTGTACGATTTGTTACAATGGCCGTTAATGGAATATAATATCAATCACAGCAGACCCTAGAGAAAAGCTGTTAATGGGCAAACAGAAAGAATCTTTGGTTGGTTTTCAGTGCTGAAAAAGAACCGAACAGTACAGACAAAGAACTTATCAACATGAAGGCTTTTTTGTAAGTTATTCAGGAAGTGTTACATAGTTTTCCTATGAATAACTGATTCAGTGAAAGAGGGCTGCAGTTGTGGTTTGCCGGCATAACCGGAATTTCTATGGAACTATTAAGCAGAGTTGAAAGGAAACAACCAAACCTGGAGTCCAGTTCTCGTCAGTAATTAGCATACACCTTTTATTACTAGCATGAGTGTCATATTCATTGCTGACTATTGAATCACACCAATCAGCTGGTTTGCCCAGATTCCCTTAAATTTAAACAGCAGATATTTGAATGTGAAACCAATCTTATCCACCAGTCTTGTCTCCATCTGCAAAGGCCTGGTAATCAGCCACTGTTAATGCTCTTAACTTCACATTTAAAGTTCGGAACACTACCTCATGAGCACTTTCTATTTATTTTTAAGTACTTCAATTAAAAATGGAATAGGAACCTTGAAGATGTATGACAGTTTAGGGGTGTAAATGATAATAGTCTTGTATCGATGCATAGAACCAACAGCCAACGAATCCGATGCATCGACACGTCCACAAGAGTATTAATTCATTTTTGTTTTTTCCCTCCGGTCTATTTTTATACATTTGCTCTTGGACGTAATTCTGACTCCCGTGCTCCAATGGCGCTAAACCTATTTTGCTCTCCTACCTCGCTTTCTTTAGCCACTACGCTCTTTTAGCTTGCAGTATTTTTTGCTGCAAGGCCTTTCAGAATCTGTAACACAGAGGCATTATTATTTTTCAGTGAGTAAGGTTTTCAAAGGCCTATATGAGTACAACTTTGCTACTTCTGTTATTAGCTGTTGTCAAATAAAATGAATAGCTATATTACAACTTTTATTGATTTATTTCAAATTTGAAACAATGTCTAGCCTGTAAGGCAAAAATAAGAAATTAACCAATTAATCAAATATTATCTTGGTGTGTTCTTAATAGGGTTGTCACGATACTAAACTTTTCAACTCGATACCGATACTAAGGAAAATATTCAATACTCGATACCATTTTCGATACCACAAGGATAAAAACAAAGACTCCAAAATTCTACAGAAATATTTTCATTAATAAATAAAATACAATAAATAAATACAATAAACAATAAGAACAATATTAAAGGTAGTGATGGAGAGCATATAAAAAGGTCTGATCAGCACAAATAGAAATAGGCTTGCCTCTCAATACAGTGAATATTATATTATATTACAGCCAGTGATGGGACTAACGGCGTTGAAAGTAACGGCGTTACTAACGCCGTTACCTTGTGTTAGTAACGAGTAATCTAACTAATTACTTTGACTGTAACTATAACGCAGTTACCATTGCAGGCACCCCGTTACTGCGCGTTACTTAGGTCGCGCAATGAACCTTTTTTCATGTTAGGACTCGTGCGCAGCTGCGTGAAGCTGACACCCCACCCACGTCAAAAAACTCTGCAAATAGACTGAATGGTTAGTGCAACGTTAGTGCAGATTTGTGCAGAAAAAAATATTGTTTGTGCTACTTTTGTTTAAGAGATATTAAAGATTATTTTTTTAGGTCATCCAGAGGTGCGCGCCTTGTCATGAGAGAGGGGAGGATGAGATTCCGTCTGTCAGTTGAATAGGTGGGTGTTTCTGCTGGTGGGTGTTAACGTACAGCACACACAGAGAGATGGAGAGTGAGGATGACTCCAGCAGCAAAACAGCGTTTTCCACATGGAAATACCGGTGTTACGTAGAGCTGCGTTTCCCCATCACATAACGGTTTCCTCTGCATCTCCACACAGCGCAGGCGGCAAGAGTCACCGCGCTAGCGACAGGAAAGGCGCATGCTCGCTAAAGGCGCGCAACAGTCGCTCTGTGCTCGCGCCACAGGAGAAGTATGGAGAGCGTGAACGATCAAATGAACCTGACAACAGCCAGAAATGATAGCCTATATGGAGAAAGGGAGAAATCTGGATGGATGGATGGATGGATGGATGGATGGATGGATGGATGGATGGATGGATGGATGCTCTGCCTTCTCAACCTACTGTATTTTTTATTTTAAACATTATTTGATGGCCTTTGTGGCAGGGATGGAGATCCATATTTTATGTCACACACAGAGTATACATCTAGATAGATAGATAGATAGATAGATAGATAGATAGATAGATAGATAGATAGATGTTGCAGTATCTATAACAACCCAAACACACAGGATTTCAGAATTAGACATCCCCAGTTATTAATTTCATATACTCACCAGATCTGAATGTCCTGTTAAAAAACTTCACATAGCGTTCCCCCCTGATGTCATTTACGTTGAGTTGCAATAAATGCTAAACTGTCTGCAGGTTCTTGTCTTTGTTGTCCGCTCTATTCAGCTGGCTTTGGAAACACACGGCGAGAAGGTGGGGGCTGGGTGGTGAGGGTTACGGGGGCGAGAAACGCAAAAGTAACGCAATAGTTACTTTTACTAGTAACTAGTTACTTTTATTGTGGAGTAACTCAGTTAGTAACTCAGTTACTTTTTGGGAGAAGTAACTAGTAACTATAACTAATTACTTTTTCAAAGTAACGTGCCCAACACTGATTACAGCGTACTAATTCATATTTCCATGAGGGAGAAAAAAAACCCAAGATTAGAAGGGCTTTAAAAGCAGCACATTAAAAGTCAGACATTTCTAATCCTTTTTCGTTGCTAATGGCTAATCCAATTCCCCTACAGTGCCTTGCCTTGCTGCAAGATGTACGTATCAGGCGTAGTTGCTCACCCAAGTGTGTTTGGCTTATACCATGATTCTCCAGCCTCTGCTGCAGCAGCACCAGCAGCCTCTGATCCATCTTGAGACCTGACCGCAGCATTTTCCAAGACTTATCAAGCCTGTGTATCTGCAGCCAACGAGACGATCTGCCTTGCACGCCTGGCACAGGTGTTGATAACCTCTGCGATGTGCAGACTAGC